TTAGCAGCAAGGGCACACTGTTGGCTCATATTTAGCTTATTATCCACTGTAGCCCCCAGGTCCTTTTCTGCAGAGCTGCTGATTAGCCAGTTTGTGCCCAGTCTGTACCAGTGAATAGGACAGTTCTGTCCTAAGCGCAGGACTTTGTACTGCTCCTTGTCAGGATGTCTTTTGGCTCAATCCTCCAATTTGTTGAAGTTTCTCTGAATCCTAGCTCTACCCTGCAGCGTACCTAGTATTCCCCCCAGATTGGTGTCATCTGCAAACTTGTTGATGGTGAACTCTATGCCATCTTCCAGGTCATTGATGAAGATATTGAACATAGCCAGCCCCAGCATGGACCCCTGTAACACTCCACTTGATACCAGCTGCCAGCTGGACATCAGGCCATTAATTACTACCCTCTGAGCCCAGCGATCCAGCCAGTTTCCTATCCACCTTACAATCCATTCATGAAACCTGTACTCCTTTAGTTTGCTTGTGAGAATGTTGAGGGAGACGGTATCAAAAGCCTTGCTAAGGTCAAAGTATATCATGTCCACTGCTCTTCCTGTATCCACAGAGCCAGTCATCTAATCATAGAAGGTATGACTTGCCCTTGGTGAATCCATGCTGACTGTTCCTAATCTTCTTCTTCAAGTGCTTAAAAATGGATTCTTTGAGGACCTGTTCCATGATTTTTCCAATATCTGAGGTGAGGCTGCCTGGTCTGTAGTTCCTTGCATCCTCCTTCTTCCCTTTCTTAAAGATAGGCACTATATTTGCACTTTTCCAATAATCTGGGACCTCCCCAAGTTGCTACAAGTTTTCAAAGATGATGGCCAGCAGCTTTACAATCACATCAGCCAACTCCCCTGGCAACTTCGGATATATTGCATCCAGCTCCGTGGACTTGTATATGTCCAGCTTTTCTAAATAGTCCCTAACCTGTTCTTTTTGCCACTTGGCTGCTTACCTCCTCCCCAAACTGTGCTGCCTGGTGCAGCAATCTGGGAGCTGAACTTGCCTGTGAAGACTGAGGTGAAAAACGCATTGAGTACTTCAGCCTTTTCTGTGTTATCTGTTACTAGGTTGCCTTCCCCATTCAGTAAGGGACCCACATTTTCCCTGATCATCTTCTTGTTGCTAATCCTTGTAGAAACCCTTCTTGTTACTCTTCACACCGCTTGCTAATGTTATCAGTGTTTCTGCTTGCATTCACAGTGCACATACTTCTACTTCTGCAACTATATTATTTGAATGAGGGAGCATGGTCTTCTCAGCTGGTTCTAACCTCTTCTGCTCCTGTTTTTTCCCCTTTTTGCAATGGGTAGAATGGGGACCAGTCCTTGTATAGGTATTATCCATTTTGCCAAACTTGTGAAGTGTTTTAAATCACTTGTATAGTTTAGACACATTACTTAAGGATAAAATGGTGAACACCAGAATTTCTAGGTGCAATGGTTCATCCTCAGGTGTTCCTTTGTGTTTTCTAAAACTAAACTATTTTTAAGAGTTCCGTGCTCCTGGGTCTGTGTTTTTTGTGAATTACTCAGTTCAGAGTGCGGAAATTACCTAGTTATATAACACTCCATCTGTCACGCATGCAAAATAAAGAAATAACATATACTCTTGTGACAGCTTAATTCTCTTTATTTTCATAAAACATTACATCTGATGATAGTATCAACTGCTGTATTTCCAAGAACATTTCCAAAGAATCTGGTATAGAGTGAATGACTTGCATTTATACCAAATATCACCCCATTACAAATACTTAGGTATGCTGTTTACTTTTGCTCCTATATCATGCTCCTATATGCGTATCTATAGTTGTTGTCAAAACATATATTATGGGATGTATGCCTTAAAAACAGTTTACCCACACTTTACACGATTTTTTAATCTGCTGAAACTAGTACTTTGCTGTTGCATGGTACTCTCGCTATTTTAATCGTTCAGTGAGCTAGTTATGCTAAATGGGGGTTGTGTGTGGTGCTTTTGTTTAGTTTTGTATGTAAATAAGGTACAACTTGGTTTGAATATCTTGACATCTTGCTGACAATCTTGTTTTGTGACACAAAGGGATGGGCAGAATCAAACGATGGCTGCTGGCTATCTTCATATATTAACCAGTTTTAAAATAACTTTCCCACTCTTCATTCCCCTCAACTTTTTTACTGATTTTACATGCACCGTAAAACAAGAAGCTTCACTTCAGCAAAATAGTTGAGGATCTAAACTTTTTAAAGGCTGTATGCTTGAATTGTATCACTTATGACCTTGCTTTCAGAAGATCTCATCACATCCTAAAGGGATTTTATTTAATTTAGCAGAAGCCATGCTGTTGAAAGTAAGTCAGCATCCTAAATATATTAGCCTTCCCTTGGCCTTGTGGACACTGTGGGAATACTGTGGTTTTCTCCTATTGATGATGTCTGTGTTGAGCCCTCAACACGCTCCTGTTCATTTTTTGTACGTAAA